GGGGCCCCATTGGAAGAATTCCGAGACCTTTCACAGGGTGGGGGGCTGTGAAATGGGGGGAGTTGTGATGTGAGAGGGGGGAGCTGTAATACTTGGGAGGCAGTGATGTGAGAAGGTGAGCTGTGATATAGGGGGCTGTGATGTGAGGGGAGGGAGTTGTGATATGAAGGGTCTGTGATGTCAGGAGGGGGGGGGAAACTGTGATGTGAGGGGTTGTGATTGCAAAGGGTGGCTGTGATGTTAAAGAGGGACTGTGATGTGAAGGGGGGCTGTGTGATGTGAGGATATAGAGGGTTATGATGTTAGAGGGGAAGCTGTGATATGAGGGGCTGTGATGTGAGAGGAGGGAGTTGTGATATGAAGGGTCTGTGATGTCAGGAGGGGGGAAACTGATGTGGGGGGCTGTGATTGCAAGGGGGACTGCAATGTTGGGGGGGGAGCTCTGACGTGAAAGGGAGTTGTGATGTACGGGGGGCTGTGATGGGAAAGGGGGGACTGAGGACATTTATTAGGGACTGAAAAACCTGAGTAATAGAAGAAAAATTAAATTCGGACCTCTGCATAAAGAAAATGTCACCAACCAGACCTCCATGAATTTTAATTCAGTACCCCTACTCTATTAAAAAAAAAAAAGGTTTAGCCTTTAGTTAGGATTTAATTTATAATTCTAAACAGTTTAAATAGGCTTTTTTGTGATAACTAACTGGAACGTATGCTGGAGAGCTCTACATTGATTTGCAAATTGCAGGGTAACCTTACGAGTGGGAGACACCCTCCTCTATTCTCCAGCAAGAATGGACCCCCCAACAACACCCCAGTACACTGTGTCTCGTAAATTGTACAACTGTGGTCTAGTCTCAAAAATTATGAGTCAGCAGAGGAGTAGTCTCTATAGGTCACAATCTGAATAGTAAAAAAAAGTAGAGAATTATTAACACATACGAGATGCAGTCACAGAAAAATCATTTGTGTCTTTTAGTTTAATGGTTATTAGGCGCCATTTACTATCAATGACAGGAGAGATCACAGGAGGAGAATTCCGAGACCTTTATACACACATAGGGAAAGTCTCATGAACAATATATCCAATCAATTTCCAGATAAGACATATAGTTATCTTAAACAGGTTAATATATTATTGGTCACTATTATACAGAATATTTATATATGCCTAGGTGTGACATAAAATGTACAGATTTGAGTAGCTGAGAGGTGACCTGTAGCAATATGTAATCCTAAATGTAGTTTCAGTCCTTGTCATTGGGGAAATGAGGTGTTCAGAAACAGATGGTCATCAATTAGCATCTGAAAAGACTAGCTTCCTCTGGAAGTGGCACCTGGGTGCTAAAAGATTTTGTCACGTTCTGGGAAAACCGGGAAGGAAACGGCTGGAGACAGGTTGGCTTCATGACACCAGGGGGGCTCCGATCTGTCTCCCTGACATTGGGAGCTCTAAAAGAATATACATACATCAAAGGAGTATGTTTCATCCCTCATAAAAGCTAAAATATTAGTTGCAGAGAGATGAAAATACTTCCTTCTGATGGGGCACTCTGTGGGTCACATCGACATATAAAAACCGTATTTGTGATTAGGTAGAATGCCAGGAAAATGCAGGAAATGGTTAGGTGGTGCTGGATTGCAACAGCCGAACAGTGATTGGTACTGTCGCGATCGGACTGATGTGCTGGTGTCGGAAATCCAATCCCCGACTTGGTGATTCAAGCCGGTCTTGGTCCAATTGACCTTGGGCAGTTCGGCACCCAGAACATCCTGTGGGTGGGTACAGGAACACCCCCCAGGGTCAATTGGCCGAGGAATAATGTCCTGCCTACGTGTATATCCCCATAAATTGAGTACCCGGACATTGGGACATTGTGATTCCTATGGAGCCAGTTCTATTTGACTGACGGATTGCTGACTCTCTGACTTGCTCCAGTCACAGGATAGATCTTGGTAAAAGTTTTATTTCTGTTTTTTATTCCCTTTTATTTTATAGTGAATAATCTATGTGTGTCTTCTTGTATTTTTTGTAACTTTTTATATTTTGTACATATTTTTGCACTGCCCACTTTTGGGATATTAAATCTTAAAATTAGTAAGTGACTTCTGTGTATTTAAGCACGGGCTCATATCTTCGGAGAGATTAGATTGTATTGTATGTTAGTGTCTTTATATGCTCGGTCAAGCTCATTGCCAATCTGTATGCAATTGCACTGTGTGTTGGCAGATTGCGTGCAGATTGTAAAGGTAGCAGATTTGCCAGATGGAGATCTGTGTGTGTGTGGTGTCCCAACAGACCGTTCTGCGGATAAACTGAGTAGTGGCCAGCTACCGTTTGTGGTGTGTCTGGTGTGGGGGGTGTGGACAGTGGAAGAGTGATTTACACCGGGGTTCTGGCTTGTAGGATAGCTGGAGTGATCCTAGAAGGGTGTGTGACTGCTAAGCTGCTCCTCAACTCTAACTAGTGCACCAGATTGTATATAAGAGTTGTATCTGCCAGTGTGTGGGGTCGACCAGCTGGATTGGAGTGGAGTCTCCCTCTGGTGGTGGCCAAGAGGTAGTGCGGGCTGTGAAAGTGTATCACGGCTGGTCTTATATACGGTTTTATATATTCAAAGTTAAGTCCCCCTTATTCCCTCTTACCCCAAGTCACGGTCGCACGTGCGCGCCTCGGTTAGCTAGTCGCTGTGAGCGTGGCGTGGATGAACCCGTGACACTAGGTAACATTAACCTCCCTGGCGGTATTCCCGAGTGTAGCTCGGGGTAGAGTTTTAGTACCAAAAGCGGTAACCCTGAGCTACACTCGGGCTTACCATGCGGCGCTGCATAGGGAGTCCCTGCAGCACTTACCTTGTCCTTCGCTCCCACGATGTGTCTCCTGCAGCGTCCCCGGCCATCTCCTCTGGCTGATGCCGGCATCCGGCTTCTGTGTTCCGGTCCCCGTGACGTCGGGACGTACGGGCGGCGGCGGCGGGAAATTTGAAAATTTTAAAAAATTTAATTTTTTTCAAAACACATTTTTCACAGTAAAACATTGCTGTTTCAACCCATTTCACATACATATTGTCCCGAGTGCTTTGTCCTGTGACCTGCCTACATTTTGTCTGTCTTTCTGTCTGGAAACTTCGAAAAATCCATGGCGTCCAAAAAGTGTCCCTTTAGGTCAAAAGCGGTTTTAGACCAGCTAGAGAACAGCGATAGTAAATCAGAACCACTTGCAGAATTGAGTGATAATGATTCGTGGGGAAATTCGTAATCAGACACTGAAAACGATTTTGCGACTTTGCTCAGTGATGTGCGAACTTGGCGCTATATTTCAAATTTCAGTGTTTTTAGTTTGATTATATTATTGAATTAAATGTATTATTATTATATTATTATTTTTTATGATTATTTATTAAATTATAATTAATGATTTCGTGTTTCAAATTTTATCCTACCCGGGATGTTTACTAGACTCTTGTTCGGACAGATTTCAGTGAGTTATTCCTAAAAATTACAGCCTACAATAAAAAAACTACATATTTCCATGCAAAATAATGGTACCGCTTTCAGCACCAAAAATCTGAAATAATCATACCGCCAGGGAGGTTAAGTAGTGTCTTTCTGATTTACAAAATCTAGAGAAAAGAAAATGGGAATAAATTGAAGGCGTTGCCTATAGGTACCAGTAAGTATTTTTGTGCATTTTTCCATAAATTTGAAGACAAAATCTGACTGGTAACAATAGGCCTAAGCCTTGTCTATTCTATTCTATTCATGCCTTCGTGGCCATATGTTGGTAAGTGAGTTGCTCCATTTTAAAGGAAATGTAAATTTTTATTATTCTCAGGACTAAAAAGAATATTTTATTTTTAGTAAAATAATATTACATATTGATATTTAATTCTTGCAAATTCCAGACATCAGGTGGAACGCTGAGCCTATTTTCACTTCTTTACCTGGCTATTTCTAAGGCTCCATTCACATCTGAGCGTAGCGTTTTTTTGCATTTTTTCACACGTTTTGTCGCGCGTTTGCAAACATTTGTGTGCATTTTCAGGCTTTTTGAGCTCTGGTGTTTTTGTATTGGTCAACAGAGAAAAATTTCATCTATGACATCAATTGTTGCCATGTTTTGCCAAGCCAGAAAAACGCTCTTGGTCCCGTGTCAAAACACACAATTTGCACAATTTATGTGTTTCCATGTATTTCTATGGGAATAAAAACGCGCCAAAAATGCAGCAATCTGCCCAAATGGAGCTACAAAAGTAACTCCAAAATTTTTTTGAGCTTCAGGCATTCTGCTTCAGGCAACGTGGAGTGAACCATCTCCATAGAGTAATATTGATTTTTTTTTTTCTCCTTTAGCGTTTTGGATCTTCGAGCTTCGTGCTACAAAACGCTCAGGCGTGAATGAGGCCTAAATGATGTGCTGAAGAGCCTGATATTTACAGTGCTGAAAAGCTGAAACCAAAATTATCCACACAGCTGAATGGAACTCATCCATCCCCCTCCTAGACCACCTCTCACTGAGCTGTATGGATATTCAATTAGAAAGAGAGAAACTGAAAGGAAACAGTTACTGCTGTACTGTCTCTAGAAAACACAGAATGCTCTGCAGAACCAATTGCCATTGGTGCACTCTGAAGAGTCAGCAACTTTTGCAGATAAAGGCACTGGGAAATCAAGTATTTTAAATGTTTGCTTGCACAATTTTTTTTTCTTTGATTTCTAGATTTGACTAGTAAATTCCCCAACACAGCCCTCTCCCTCCTTGCATGTTATAATCATCTCCTCTTCCAGGAATGTACAATGACTCTCTGTGGTGGCCCAACTCTTGTGACGCTCACCTCCCTACGTGGCCTTTTATGTAGCTGTGAGGGAAGGAGTGAAGGGGAATACTCAAGGGCTGTTGACATCACGCTCAAGATAGCAGCAGCACTCCTAAGGCTTTTGGATGTTTACATAAGGTGGGTGCTTTCACAGGTAAATCACATGCTTAAAGTGTTACTAAACCCAGGACCCTGCGTTCACTATATCTGGTCTCCCACAGTACGCAGAACATGGAAATGCAATTATTTTAGTAAATATAAACTGCTAAATACCTTTTCTCATCAGCAGTTAGAGCAGTCTTGTGACTTCTATCAGTGTCCAGCAGAGCACTGTAGGAGGAGTTTTAATTTTGCTCTAGGAGGATGCAGAACCCCTGACCTCTCTAGCAATACACACCAAACTGAGCATGTGCAGAATGACTTCATATGATATGTTTTATCAGGAGATAAGAGGGGGACACTGTAAGAAGGGGAGAATCAGAGAATACAGGATCAAACAGCGTTTTTACACAATGCCAAGAATTAACCCCTTAGGTTCCACAGTGAGTATAACAAGCGTGCTTTACTGCATATACAGACTGATTTTACCATTGTCATTTAGCTGTACTTCTGTGAATTACAGGAGTGTAGTTCACTCTGTACTCCGGTGACCTGTTTTCAGCTGCTGGTCCAGGCTGGGGAAAGATCCCAACCATATGGTTGGGATCCACCCAGGAGCCTGGACCAGCACCTGGCTCAACCTCTCAGTGATCCGCTGATCACTTTTTTCTCATCACCAGTTTGATAGAAGTCACAAGACTGCTCTGTGTCCAGCTCAGCACTGCTTAAAGCTTGTAGGAGGAGCTTTCATTCTCCCCTGATTGTCCTATCAGACTGCATAACCCTGACCCTCTGTCTGGACAGCACTAATTGGTCCTGTACTGATCACATGCACTCTCCCAAGAGAAAAAAAAACTCTAGCAATATACACCAAACTGAGCATGTGCAGCTTGCCCCCAAAACTCTGTTCTATCAGCAGATGGATTGGGGACAGTAGAAGAAGGGGAGGATCAGAGAAGAGAGGATCAAACTTCCTTTTTACACAATGCAGAGGATTAACCCCTTAGGTTCCACAGTGAGTATAACAAGAATGTTTTACGGCATATACAGACTGATTTTACTGTTGAGGGTTTAGTAACACTTTAAACCACAGGGATTCTTCCATATACTTTATTCTGTAGGGATCTGTTATTCTGTACTGTGCTGCCACCTAGCGCTGTCAATAGGAAACATTGCTAGGTAGCCCCTGTTACTACAATGGTTGCATTGCCAGTTATTATTTGTTCTGTGCCTATTGCATACCTCTTTACCATTTTGTTTGCATTGTTCATTTATCCTGATTAAAGCGGTATCAAACCCACAAGCAAATATTTATTATATAGCAACCTTCCATTTCTTAGATATGATGGCTGCATTTGTTTTCTTCTTTAGGCTTTCTTCTATTTTCATTTGGTGAGCTGGCAAGTACGTCTGTTGGTTTTCAAAAGACCAAGCTCTCCAGCAAATGTATTAGTTACAGAGACGAGACAAACCATTTAACACAGATAGTTACAGAGACGAGACAAACCATTTAACACAGAGGCACTTACAATTATCAGTATTTATTTATTTATGTAAAACCTTTGCTTCAAAAAACACAGGTGTCCTGTAATTGCTTATAGAGACTTATTTGAAGTTTGGCTTCAATGTGCTTGTATATTTAAATCAGCTTTAACATCTAACACTCCCCTCACCTCAGATTGACAATGCTGCTGTCCAAAGGTGCCCCCTGTGTTCCTTCATCCAGAGTGGGAGCACTCTAATACAGGAGGTGGGTTACTGACCAGATATCCATCCAAGTGAAAACAGAGGGGAAAAAGTCTAAAACAAAAAGAAAACTAATGCAGCCACTACATCTAATGACTGGTAAGCTGCAAAATATGGTATTATATTGTTGGTTTTGTGTTTGACATCACTTTCATTCAATAAACATCACATTGCATATTGCTGTTTTTCTGATCAGTCTTATCAGACTGACACCTCAATATTACAGTGCTTAACCACTTGCCCTCCTGAGGATTTACCCCCCCTTCTGACCAGGCCATTTTTTACGATACAGAGCTGCGTTACTTTAACTGACAATTGCGCAGTCATGCAACGCTGCACCCAAATGAAATTTATGTCCTTTTTCCCACTAATAGAGCTTTCTTTCGGTGGTATTTGATCGCCTGTGCATTTTTAATTTTTTGCGCTAATAAAAAAAAAAAAAAGCTGACAATTTTGAAAAAAAAAAAAAAATTTTGACTTTTGCTATTAAACATGTCCAGTAAAAAAATTTAAAAAATCAAATTTTGTCATAAATTTAGGCCAAAATGTATTCTACGACATGTCTTGTAAGCTGTAACGAGCAGGGCCCTCTGTTTCCTCTTGTACCAAATTGTAATGTCTACCTTCATTTTGTAAAACGCTGCGCAAACTGTTGGCGCTATATAAATCCTGAATAATAATAATAAATAATAATGTCTTTGCTAAAAAAAAATCTCAATACATGTAAATTAATTGGTTTATGTGAAAATTATAGCATTTACCAATGGCGGTATAGGTACTGGAATGTTTTGTTTTTTTTACTAGTAATGGCAGCGATCAGTGACTTAAAGCGGGACTGCGGCGGGCATCCTGACACTGACTTGGTGTCACTGACATTGCCAGTGACACTAATACAGTGATCAGTGCTAATAAAAAGCACCGACACTGTACTAATGGCACTGGGCAGGAACGGATTAACATGTGGGGTGATCAAAGGGTTAACAATGTGCTGTTTCACAGTATGCTGTGTGTGTGCGTTCAACTATAAGCACACTGCTTTGTATGGCTCTGCTATGCAGAGCCATACAAAGTAGTGTGCAGGAGTTGACAGGGGAGAGAACTGTATTGTTTACATACAGTTCTCTCCCCCCAGCCCCCCGTCAGGAATGCTAGGCAATCACCAATCACGGACCAGGACTCGGTGATTGACAGCCGAGGCCACGAATAACAGGTCAAAATGCAAAATCACACATATATATATATATATATATATATATATGTATATATATATATATATATACACATACACACACACACACACACGTGATTTTGCGCACCCCTGCCACCCTGTTGCAGTATTTCTACAATAGGGTGGCAGGAAAGCAGTTAAAGCAGAACTCCATGAAAAAAATGGTTTTCTCCCATGTGGTGAGGCTGTGCCCACACTGCATGGGTTAACTGTTTGTGTTGTCTAGGGGTGCACCGAAAGTATGGCTATACTTAACAAATCTTTTGATTCTCTGGAAAACAGCACTCCCCCACACACAGAGGTGGACTGTTCCTGCCATCCTCACGTCCAGAGCCGGTCTATGAAAGTGATGAAATCAGGAACAGTCCATTCACAAGACTGTTAGCGTGCGGGGGCAGGAGTAGCAGGGACCGGTCCTGCACTCGTAGGATCAGCAGATTAGGTAAGTATATCTTCGCTCTCCTCACCCTTGGACAAAAATGAGCAATTAACCCTTGCAGTGCGGGCACAACCCCAATGCATGGGGAAAACACATTCCTGGAATTCTTTAACTATAGCAGAGAAAAGCCAGGTGCCCAGGCTGTGTGTACTGTACGGCGGAACCATGTAAATCTCAGGACTGGATGAACAAAAGTTCAGATGTTTTGGCAAGTACCACAGCCCCCAAATAAGTGTGTTATGCACTTAGCAGTTTGCCTTTGGCTCAGCTTTAACATGCTCAAAGCTCCATGCTGAAAATGAAACACCTAGTTAAAAGTCATCATCTCCACAGCAAACGCTTTTTTCCTTGTTTGCGTTTTTTTTAGCTTTTTATTGGTAAAAAAACATAAAAATGCCGGTTTGCAACGTTTTACCGTGTTTTTACAGCTACAAAAACTCCTATAAAAACCCACTTGTTCTGTTTTTTTTTTTTTCCAGCCAAAAAACTTCCCTGCCAAAAAAACGTTGATTACAGTCTATGTGTGCATGGACATATAGGATAGCATGCTGGGGGTTTACTAGCTGTAGAAAAAAATGCCAAAAAAATGTCAAAAGCCAAAAACAGCAGCTGTAAAAAATGTCCAGTGTGCATGAGGACTAAGACAGCAATGCAAATTATGGTACATAATGTGTTTCTAAGTGCAGTATTATGGTACATAATGTGTTTTTAAGTGCAGTCCCATGCTTTGAGTGGACTTTCTGAATAGCTAGTTCCCTGGATAGCCAGTGTCACTGACTGATCTTATTTATTGCCTGGGGTGGCTTTTTCATGGATAATTGGATACAAATGATGAAGTGGTTGTATTGTAACTGCATTGTCATGGGGTTGGTGACCCCCTGCTGCAGGGTCCACCAGAATCCCTGGATGTACAGAATTGTGACGTGATAACGGGGGGGTTGAGAGAAGACAGAATTGAGGGGAAGCAGTCTGCACGGTAGAAGGAGAATTAATAAAGAAATACAGACAGATGGAATGTACAGCAAAACTGGCGACATAGAATTAATTGAAGATGACGCCTTTGTACACCAGGACTGAAAAGCATGGAGTAAATGTGGCAGCTAGTCACAGCCAATGTGACATCGTCATCTGAGGATGGGCTTTCAGAGATGTCAGTCTCTAGCCAGGAGCATGGTCACATGGTCAGCCCCGCTTGATGACCCCCAATTCACCCGCATAGACAGATATGATGTGTACAGCTAAAATTTGTGGCTGTTTATTAGTAAACTTACTATAAAATAATACAAGTAGATGGACATTGATGACATTAAATTATGGATAATATGTTTAATAAAGTAATCAAACAAAAATTGGAATGTGTCAAATAAAATTGTTAAAACTAGGGATGCACCGATACCATCCTTTTACAGAGAGTACGAGTGCCGATATGTTTCTTTTACTTGCCGATACCAATTACCGATGCCTGCTGGCAACTCTTTTGTAGGAAATCCTGATAGCTGAATAAAGTGTTGTTTAACACTTCCAGAAAAAAACAAAAGTATATATCCCAGCGCCAAAAAAAGAAAGAAAAAACTATATGATTATGCAGCTGTGCACCAGTGAAAAAACACCAATAATAAACAACACAAAAACAGCGCAAAATCTGAAATTAAAATAACACAAATAAATAAACACTAAATTTATAATAAGTGTCTGTGAAAAAATATATTTATTTGTGTTATTTTAATTTCAGATTTTGCGCTGTTTTTGTGTTGTTTATTAACCACTTCCAGTCCGGACACTTTTACCCCCTTCCTGTCCAGGGAAATTTTCAGCTTTCAGCGCTATCACACTTTGAATGACAATTGCGTGGTCATGCAACACTGTACCCATATTAATTTTTTACCATTTTTTGAGACAGATAAAGCTTTATTTTGGTGGTATTTATTCACCGCTGGGATTTTTATTTCTTTTGCTATGTAAATGAAAAAGTCCAAAAATTTTGAAAAAAAAGTGTTTTTCTTATAAAATTTTGGCCGAAATGTATTCCGTTATCTTTTTAGTAAAAAAAAAAAAAAAGCCAAATTAGTTTATAACCACAAATTATAATTTAAAAAAATTTTTTTTTACATTTTTATTTTATTTTTTTATATTATTATTTATGTTTTTTTTTTGTTTTTTTTTTTTACATACTGTCACCCTAGCAGTACAGTGTCACCATGGTGATACTGTACTACTTGGAGCGGGTGATGAAGATTTTTTTTTTTTTTTTTACAGTGATTGCTTTTACACCCATATAGGATGTGAAAGCAATCATTTCTCCTTCTCTCTGTCTGCATTCTTGCAGCCATTGAGAAATACTGAGTGAGCTGTGATTGGTCACAGCTTGTCACATGGTACAAGGCTGTTGTAAATAGCCTTGTACCATGTGACCTCTGTGATCATTCACAGGTTTCACAAGTAGTAAGCAATGATGTCACAAGTGACATCTTGCTTACTACTTTGCATGTGATCACTGATTGGCCAATCAGTGATCACATGATCCGGATCCCGTCCGACGATCGGTGTTTCACTGTGTGCGGAGGACACAGCGGGCACCGGATTGCGGTGCTTCGCGCTCCCAGGGAGCGCGCACAGCAAGAAATGGCGGGTGCCGTTTGTGAATGGCAACCCGCCCCGGAGTGCCACCGTCCTGCCGTTTATAAACAGCAGGCGGACGGCAAGTGGTTAAGGACGTGGCGGCCCTGCACCTTGACCACGTCGACTCTTACACCTGTCCACCTCTTATGGACCACAGCAAATTTTTACATTTCCACTATGGACCTGTTTATTCAGCGATAAGTTAAAGCGGAGTTTGACCTGCAAAAAAATAAAATAAATAAAAGTCAGCAGCTACAAAAACTGTAGCTGCTGACTTTTAAAATACAGACACTTACCTGTCCCTCGGTCCAGTGGTGTCCTCACCACGGCTGGTTTTCTCCTGCCGTCTTCTCTCCCTGGCGCCGGCATCTTCAGTGTGGGCACACGGCTGTGACAGCTTGCGGTATCACAGCCGGGTGCCCACTGTGCATGCAGGAGAAGCGCTGCGCTTTGTGAATGGTCCCGTCGTCTTCTGGGACCTGTTACATGTCCCAGAAGACTACGGGGGGGGGGGGACAGCTTCCGCTTCCAATCCTCCAGGCGATCGCTGAAGTGGGAGCGGATACCTGTCAAAGGTGCCAATCCTTAATGGGGAGCAGGGCAGAAATCTTAAAGCAGGACTTCCCTTTTTGGGTGGAGCTCTGCTTTAAAATGACTTAAAAAAACCGTTTCCCCACAGCCCTATAGCACAAATACTGCTACAGGGCAGCAGGGCTGCGCAAAATCTATATATCGTATCTATATACATGATTTTGTATTTCCGGGTAGGGGGCGCGCCGCCCTCCCCGTGCCACCATTAGCGGCTACAGCTGCCAATCACCGGGTCCCGGATGGAGATTCCCCACCAGCACCTGGCGATTGCCGAAGAACACTGACAGAGGAGAAGTCTGTATGTGAACAATACATATCTCTCCCCTGTGAGCTCCAGCACACTGCTTTGTTTTGCTCAGCATAGCAGAGCCATATTAAGTAGTGTGCTTACACAGTCACATGCCTGATGAAGGGGTCCTGTGAGACATTGATACACATGTGACCAGAATGTTCATAGCCCCAGGAATGCAGTTTATGCACATCTGATTATTGCTTTATAGTTTATTTATTTTCGCAGTTTATAATGTTTCTGTTTACATTGATTTGAATGCATTTTTGGAAGGAACATGACATCATGCCCGGTCCTGGGCTCATTTTACTTTACTCTGATTGGTGGATGGTTTTCTTAAATAGTTTTCCAGTTTCTGTCGCAATTTGTCACATGCCTGCTGAAGGGGTCCTGCGAGACTCCGAAACGTTGCCTTACTGTAACTATGTGATTGTTCATTAAAACTTTTGGGCCCATATTGGTGATCCTTGATGTGCTCCTGACATTCTCCTTGTAAATCACACACAGCACACAGTAAAACAGCACACAGTTAACCCTTTGATCACACAGATGTTAACCCCTTCCTTCCCAGTGCCATTAGTACAGTGTCAATGCTTTTTTTTTTGTTAGCACTGATCACTGTATTGCTGTCACTGGCAATGTCAGTGGCAGTTAGTGTCAGAATTCCCTCCGCAGTCCCACAGTCCTGCTATTTGCCGCCTTCACTAGTATAACATTTTTTTTTTTATTCCAGTATATATATTATATATTTTAGCAAAAGCATGTAGCAGAATACATTTTCATGAATGAGAAAAATTCATGAAGAAATTTCCAAAATTGTCTGTCTTTTTTTTGTTCAAATACCACCAAAAGAAATCTCTATTTGTGGGGAAAAGAGAACATAAATTTAATTTAGGTGCAGCGTTGCATGATCGCGCAATTGTCAGTTAAAATAACGCAGCGCCGTATCGCAAAAAAAAATGGCCTGGTCAGGAAAGGAAGTAAATCCTCTGGAGGGCAAGGGGTTAATTAAAACAGGTTGCTTTTAGCGGACTTCATCTGCAGATTGATGTTCATAGCTTTGATCTGTAGATGAATAAACAGAAAGATAAAAAAACAGTGTTTAATTGTGTATCTTTCTGTGTTAGTGGCTGAACAATGTTGTTCATGAACATTGTCAGGTTTTTTTTTTTTTGACAGTTCCAATTTCCGGGCTTGTTCATACTTCAACTGTCAGCAAGGGAACCCCCCCAACAGCTGAATGAGTCATCGGATGTTACGGACACGGCGGCCCCACTCTTTAACAACACTTTTTTTTCATTTACATTTCAGCTGTCAGTGGGAAATCCCGCTGACAGCTGAAAGAACTGAGCCTGAAGGTATCAGTTTCAGGTATTGGAGCATTTGCAATATTTAGCAATCTGAGCCGATACTTTTGCAAATGCTTATTATCGAAACCAATACCAGTGTCAGTATCGGTGCAACCCTAGGTAAAACCCAATATTAACTAAAAGAAAAATAATAAACTAAAATTTTAGTACACATATACTGATGCCAATACACACTGACGCTCTCTTCCCACTCGTGCGACTTCGCACCAATATGAATAGGTGCCATTGAAATCAATGAGCTGTGACTTGTTATGCGACTTTATGGGGTTTATTTACTAAAGCTGGAGAGTCCAAAATCAGACTCCCTTCTGCATAGAAACCAATCAGCTTCCAGATTTCATTGCCAAAGCTTCATTGAACAAGCTGAGGTTAGAAGGTGATTGGTTTCTATGCGGAAGGGAGTCTGATTTTGGACTCTCCAGCTTTAGTAAATAAACCCCTATGTGTCCAATTAATTACAATGGTACCCATTCAAATTGGTGCGACAAAGTTGCAGTGACTTTGAAAGGTTGCCTGTCCTACCTTGCTGTGACTTTGATCCAGAAACTGCAAAGTCGCACTCAAAATCGCGCGAATATATATATATATATGATTTTTTTCACATTCACACTCTATGATAACTGTAAACGGGAAAAATGGAGAGGGTAAACAGACAGCACTAAAAAACCTGACAGGGGTTATAATGACTCTTGATTCTATCCAAAACACAACAAAAAAGTTATTGCCTTTAGTTATACTTTACAGAAGCAGCGCTGCTCCAAAATGAAATTTACGTCCTTTTTTCCCCACGAATTGAGCTTTCTTTTGGTGGTACTTGATTGCCTGTGTGTTTTTTTTATTTTTTGCGCTATTAAAAAAAACAAAACAATTTTTGAGAAAAAAAAAAAACAATATATTGGACTTTTTGCTATAAAACATGTCCAGTAAAAAAAAAAAAAAATCAAATTTTGTCATAAAATTCGGCCAAAATGTATTCTGCTACGTTTTTGCTAAAATAAAATCTCAATACGTGTAAATTAATTGGTTTCCGTGAAAGTTATAGTGTCTACAAATGGCAGTATAGATACTGGGATTTTGTTTTTTTATACTAATAATGGCGGCGATTAGCGACTTATGGCGGCGATCAGTGACTTACGGCGGGAATGCGGCAGTGGGGGGGAGGTGACTTGGGGTCAGTGACACCAATACAGTGATCAGTGCAAAAAAAAAACTGACACTGTATTAATGGCACTGGGGAGGAAGGCGTTAACATTAGAAGGTAATCAAAGGGTTAACTGTGTGAGGAGAGTGTTTCACTAGGGGGCTGGGGTGTGTGCTTCACTGTAAGCACACTGATCCGGAAGGCTGTGCTCAGCGATCTGGATCTGTGTGCTCAAACTGACAGGGAGAAGAGCTGCCTTGTAAAAAATGCAGCCGTGCTCCCTGTCTGTGTTTGCCAGTAATCGCCGGGCTCCGGCGGGTAATCACCAGCCAAGACCCGGTGATTGACACCCGCGGCCGTGATCGGCGGCGCGGGTAGGGTGGTTGCGCGCCTCGTGCATGCCCCCTACCTGAAATTTTGCGCAGCGGTGCCGGCCTGCCGCAGTATGTGTACTGTGGCTGGTCGGCAAGTGGTTAACTAAAATAAGCAATTTATGATATTATTTGAACTATAGTATCAGGCACAGGGGCGGACTGACAACTCATGGAGCCCCCGGGCAATAGGGGATCATGGGGCCCCTGTGTCCTTGCCCAAACTCAAAGAAGCCTATGAAAAAGGTACCAGGGACATCTCATGGGGCCCCTACTGACCCCGGGCCCTTGGCCAGTGCCCGAGTTTCCAAATGGTCAGTCCGCCCCTGATCAGGCACCCTATTTTGTTAAAGGGAAAATAAATTATCTTGGATCAGTTTGATTTTATTTTTCTATAGAGCTTTGCTCACCTTTACACGGTTTTTTATTATGTTATTATGCAAACTCTTAGTTTTACAAACATTAACAGCCCATTCACCCTAATGTGGTCTGCTGTGGTGCATTGGGGCAGCTCTTTGATTTGAATGGACTACCCAATGCACCATAATGGGCCAAAAATCATGCATGCAGCACTTTTGGCAGCATACTACTGGTAAGTTTCCATGAGTTGTGGTGTTTTGCAAAGCAAGTTCACTGAGAAGGTGTGCAGGGGTGCCATTCAGAATGCATAGCACTGCATCAAACCAATGTGCATTACTGCATTGTACAGTGGTGTATTTTGATTTTATAATGCCCTATTAACACCCCATCCATTCCTCTTTAGGCTCCACCTCTTCCTATTAGAGCTCCATCTCACGAGTTGGTCAGAGACTGGAGACAGGATACAGGAGACTGTCAGAGACTACAGATAGGATACAGGAGACTGAACAGGATACAGGAGTCTGTGGACAGGATACAGGAGACTGTCAGACTGCGGACATACTACAGGGGAAGGTCAGAAACTGCAGACAGGACACAGGAGATGGTCAGAGACAGTGGACAGGATACAGGAGACAGTATACTGCAGACAGGACACATGAGACGGTCAGAGATGCGGACAGGATACAGGAGACAGTCAGTATACTTCAGACAAGACACAGGAGATGGTCAGAGACTTCAGACAGGATACAGGAGAAGGTCAGAGACTGCAGACAGGATACAGGAGATGGTCAGAGACTGCAGACAGGATACAGGAGATGGTCAGAGACTGCGGACAGGATACAGGAGAAGGTCGGAGACTGCAGACAGGATACAGGAGACGGTCAGAGATTGCGGACAGGATACAGGAGACGGTCAGAGACTGAGACAGGATACAGGAGACGGTCAGAGACTGCAGACAGGATACAGGAGACGGTCAGAGACTGCAGACAGGATACAGGAGACGGTCAGACTGCAGACAGGATACAGGAGATGGTTAGAGACTGCGGACAGGATACAGGAGACATTCAGAGACTGAAGACAGGATACAGGAGACGGTCAGAGACTGAAGACAGGATACAGGAGACGGTCAGAGACTGAAGACAGGATACAGGAGATGGTCAGAGACTGAAGGCAGGATACAGGAGACGGTCAGAGACTGAAGACAGGATACAGTAGACGGTCAGAGACTGAAGACAGGATACAGTAGACGGTCAGAGACTGAAGACAGGATACAGGAGACGGTCAGAGACTGAAGACAGGATACAGGAGACGGTCAGAGACTGAAGACAGGATGCAGGAGATGTTCAGAGACTGCGGACAGGATGCAGGAGACGGTCAGAGACTGCGGACAGGATGCAGGAGACGGTCAGAGACTGCGGACAGTATACAGGAGACGGTCAGAGACTGCGGACAGGATACAGGAGATGGTCAGAGACTGCGGACAAGTTACAATAGACGGTCAGAGATTGTGGACAGGAGACGGTCAGTATACTGTAGGAGTAATGAAGGAGCTAAAAAAATAACTTTGGTTTGTGAGCCAGGTTTGTGAAATATATGGCAAAACCTCTGATTTTCACTGCGGACCTGCCCCTCCAGCTGAGCCGACTCCGCACCCTTGGCCGAGCACAGCTGAGCCCGCCCCCCCCCCCCGCCTCAGCACAGCTGAGCCTGCTCTCTACCTGAGCACAGTTGAGCCCACTCCCTGCCAGAGCACAGCCGAGTCCGCCCTCAGCCTGAGCACATCCAAGACCCCCCCTGCCTGAGACCACCCAACCCCTGAGCACAGCCGATCCCACCCCCCACCCAAGAACAGCCCAGCTGAAACCGCCCGAGCAAAGCCGAGCCCAATACAGTGTAGGACAGCTTATAGCGACACTACTGGTCCCTTCTGCCTGGGGGACATTGCCAGGGACACTGAAGGAGGGACATCGCGGGAGCGCAGGACAAGGTAAGTGATCGAGGGATCGCGGAGGAGCGCCGCATGGTAAGCCCGAGTGTAGCTCGGGGTTACCGCTTGTGGTGCTGAAACTTTACCCCGAGCTACACTCGGGAATACCGCCAGGGAGGATAAATATATTCTTCAGATTTTTAACATATAAAAAGTCATTTTAACATATATTTTTACATATATTTGTAAATGCATTCCAAAAATGTAGATTTGTATTGACATACAGTATATTTGAAATGTACTTTTAAAAATACTTGTCATATATTTTGTAATAAATAATATATATATATATATATATTTTTTTTTTTTAAACATATTTTTTAATATATGGAATATGGCCAAACTTGTAGTATTTCAAATATATGTCAATATATTTGGGAAGAATATTTTTAAAAATATATTTTAAATATATTTTTCTTCCATATGGGAGGGCCAATCAGCACTGTCCAGACAGAGGGTCAGGGGTCATACAGCCTCATAAGACAATCAGAGGAAAATTAAAACTCCTCCTACTAGCTTTAACCAGTGCAATGCTGGACACTGATAGAAGTCACAAGACTGCTATATACTGCTGATGAGAAAAGGTATGTAGCAGTTTATATTTACTAAAATATAAAAAAATAATTGCATTTCCATGTTCTGTGTACTGTGGAAGACTGGACATAGTGCATGCAGGGTCCTGCGTTTACTAACATTTAAACAAGTAAAAGGAGAGGCTCTCAATCAGGGGGAGTGATAACATGAAAATATCAATCCTGCAAAATGTAAAGCTTTCATTTCTCACCTGTTATGAAGTTAAAGAAGGATTTGATTAGTCACTGAGTACAATAGAGCATTTAACCTCTCTGGCTGTGCAGAGCAAACACAATGGCCGGATTTTAATTATACGCCTCCTTAGGCCACTTTTGTGGTACAGCAAATCTTTAAAGCTGTCATTTCAAATGTTTTATCCAACAAATAATTATACAGTACATAAAAGTGATAATGAAATGTTTATTGCTTGGGTACATAGAAAATGAAGTAGGATATGGAAACTAAGGGTGTCTTGCAACTCTCTGAAAATGCATATCCCTGGCATAAAATCCTATACCAGGGACACACAAAGGTTTATTAGCTCCCATGTCCTCAAGTGTAAAATCCTTGGTGCTTTCTTGTGCCCAAGGCAGCCAAAGGTGCCACACACATCCACCAATACAAGTGTGGCTGCCATATTTGTGTAAATTTCTGTATCAGTGTTTTTCCCAGCATGTGCACACAGAGTATTTCCTGGAATATGCCACTTTTGCATTTGGTGAAATGTGACGCATGTTCATTAACGGGTAAATATTGATGCAAAAGCAATCTGTCTTTTACTTGAGTATGGCCACATGCAACCATTCACTTGTATTTGCCTGTGGGAAAATCTGGGGATTTTACATCTGAGGACACAAAGAGCTATTAAACGGCCGTATGCATGAGGCCTTAAAGTGAAATTGTGAGGCTAAGAAATATAGGAGCTGCTGTTCCTAACTTGCTTTTAAAGCTGAGCTCCAGGCAAACAAATACTGAATGGGGGTGATTTACTAAATTAGTAATGGGGGTCATTTACTAAATTAGTAATGGGGGTGGTTTACTACATGGGTAATGGGGGTGATTTACTAAATGGGAAATGGGGGTGATTTACTAAATTAGTAATGGGGGTGATTTGCTAAAGTAGTTATGGGGGTGATTTACTAAATGGGTAATGGGGGTGATTTACTAAACGGGTAATGGGGGTGATTTGCTAAACGGGTAATGGGGGTGATTTGCTAAACGGGTAATGGGGGTGATTTACTAAACGGGTAATGGGGGTGATTTACTAAATGGGTAATGTGGGTGATTTACTAAATGGGTTATGGGGGTGATTTACTAAACGGGTTATGGGGGTGATTTACTAAATGGGTAATGTGGGTGATTTACTAAACGGGTTATGGGGGTGATTTACTAAACGGGTTATGGGGGTGATTTACTAAATTAGTTATGGGGGTGGTTTACTACACGGGTAATGGAGGTTATTTACTAAATGGGTAGTGTGGGTGATTTACTAAACGGGTTATGGGGGTGATTTACTAAATGGGTAATGTGGGTGATTTACTAAATTAGTTATGGGGGTGGTTTAATAAATGGGTAATGGGGGTGATTTACTAAATGCGTAATGGGGGTGATTTACTAAATGGGTAATGGGGGTGTGATTTACTAAATTAGTTATGGGGTGATTTACTAAACAGGTAGTGGAGGTGATTTACTAAACGGGTGATTAACTAAACGGGTAATGGGGGTGATTTACTAAGCTGGTTATGGTGGTGATTTACTAAACGGGTAAATGGGGGTGATTTACTGAACAGGTAATGGGGGTGATTTACTAAACGGGTGATTACCTAAACAGGTAACGGGGGTGATTTACTAAACAGGTAACGGGGGTGATTAACTAAACGGGTAATGTGAATTTACGGGTAACGGGGGTGATTTACTAAACGGGTAATGGGGGTGATTTACTAAGCTGGTAATGGTGGTGATTTACTAAACGGGTAATGGGGGTGATTTACTAAATGGGTAAAAAATGTTACCATTGCAAAGTGAATGTTCATTTGCAATTATCCAATCATTTATAAACCACTTTCCTGTTTTTTTGTTTGTTTCTTTTTTGTTTGTTTTTTTATTTAAACTATGTGTAAGTGGGTGTGCAGATTAAACACAGCTAGGTGAAGTTTAGTAAGTGAACATTCATTTTTTACTATAAAAATTGTCTACTTCTACCAGTGAATATATTTATTTATTACGGTACTTATATAGCATTATCAATTTACGTAGCACTTTACATATTTATTGTACATTCACATCAGTCCCTAACCCTCAAGGGATGTACAATCTAAGGTCCCTAACTCACACTTATACATACACATACTAGGGACAATTTAGACAGGAGCCACTTAACCTACCTTTCTTTTGAATGTGGAAAGAAACCAGAGTTACTGGAGGAAACACACACAAAACACACACACTCATATATATATATATTTTTTTTTTTTTTATTTATTTCAGGTACTTATATAGCAACATCAACTTATGCAGCACTTCACATATATATTGTACATTCACATCTGTCCCTAAACTTCAAGGGGTGTACAATCTAAAGTCCCTAACTTACATATACATACATATATATATATATATATTAATTTATTACAAAGGGGGTCCCTCTCCCCAACATACGTTCAAGCTAGCCAGCTAACATATAACCTAACTACTGGGTCTCATGCAGACTGACTGTTTTTGCGATCTTTCCTCAACAACTTTCCAGCTGGCAGCAGTGTTTTGGCAGAAAAATGCTTGGAACTTGCAAACACATGTAACACGTTTAGATGCGTAAAGCTCTTGGAAGTTAATTTCATTGGTCAGAATAATAATTTATTCTGGTCACTGAAATGCATTATACCTTAAGTAACCCAGCATTAGCCAGCATTTAGATGAGTTTACACACATTCACATCATGCATTAAGCATTTTTCTCTGCCAAAATGTTGCTGCTCCTGAATGCGCAGGCCGTTGTTTTTTTTTTTTTTGCTGCCTCTAAATGCCCCTACTGCTAAATTATGCACATAGGTGTCTGGCATTTTTTTCAGCCTCTAAATGCCCCTGCATGTTAGCCTAAGAGCAACATTAAAAAAACGCCCAGTGTGCATGAGGCCCTCAAGGTAAAAACAGGTTTAGTTGCAACATTTGCATAAAAAAAAAGCCACAAAGCCACTTTAAGGTACCTTTTATAAATTTGATCCCTAATTCTAAACTGAGTTTGAACCCAGTCATAATTTTTTTTTTTTTAAAGGCCCTCGAGAGCTTAATCTGGAGAGGAGGAGAGAGCGGAGAGGAGATGTGGGCCATGCTCCCCCTCCCCCAACCCCCCA